CCACATGTAAAGACTTGGTTGCAGGCTCTCGAGCGATAGCCTATTGTACGTAAATAATTTTTTGGTGTATTGGTGTTGCAATAAATTTTGTTAAAAATTAAAAATCAATTATTACTAAGGAGTGAAAATTCTATTATCTTTCATGCCTACACTGTTTTTTGACATAAAGATGAAATTGAAAAAAAATCCCCAAAATTTTCCATTAAATATTTCTAGTAATTGAAATAATTGGTGTGATCCCCCCTCAACCCGCAGGAATGACTAACCCTGAGAATTATTAACTGTTTAGACACTTTGAAACTTTTAATGCTTTGCATGTTTTTGTGGTTTCATCTTGAGATGGCTCGATATTTAGTAACTTTTGACCCTTATGGAAACTCGGTCTTTCCTACATGCATGGCTCTCATGACCCTTTGATACTTGACATCGTTTCATCTGTTCCTTTAATTCGTCGTTTCTGATCATCAATCATTGAAATTATGTCACTCATTTAATTTGGTTCAATCTTTACGACTTCTCAACTAATGAAGGATTCCGCAAGAAGAAAAAAAACAATTGACTAGATTCAAACCCACATCTACAGCGTACCAGTTGAAAAGTATAACTACGCGCTTAATTGCTGTTTAGAAGTCAAATTCTAGAAACTGGCATATATTCATTCCGTCAATTTCATCTTTGTGGCTTGACTCATCCGTTGGAATCTCCCAGAGTACCCTTTCTGAGTATTCTGATGATTTTTACCTGAAAAAAACAAAATGAGCAGCCGGAGTGGGTCTGTCGAGGCCCCGCCTCCCCTACTCGCCTTACCGACGATCGACCATGGGGCCATCCCTCCCATGGGGTGATACTTATTCTGGCTTGGGGTCGTCTGAGCCCCGAGAACTGAGTCTCTACTTTAGTCGATCCTTGTTTCGCCACGAAGTAACAATTATAAAAACAATTCTAATGGAGTTGTAAATTCCATCAGTTCAACGACTCGAAATTATTCGTGGGAAACTTGATACGCCGAATAGGTTCTTTATGTCGCCTTTAGATTGAAACGAGGGAAAATTACGATTAAGAAAGCGAATAATTGTCAATAAAAAAAACTTAGATACACAACACCAAATTATGATCAACAGTTTAACAGTTTATTCACTTAATAATACCGAATACACTTGGATTTTAAACAGCGATTTCAGTTGAGATGTTTACAGGTTGATAGTTCAATTTTAACTAACATAGAAAACAATAATTTTGCGAGTCGAAAAATTTCGTAAGAGTCCAGAGGGTGGAACTTAGCTATGAGGGTTGAGAGAGGAATTCAGAGTTGGGATAGGCTAATGAGAGGCTTAAGAGAGGGACTCACCGGTGGGATAGGTCAATTTTCGAAATGGAGGGAAAAGGATCAATTCTATTGGCCTCGACTGGCCGGAAAATTACTCTGGGCCTGAAGGGAAGAGAGAGGGCAATGCTGTTAAGCAATGTTTAAGCAATGTTGTCTGGTCCTGAGTGACGTGGCGCCTACCTGAATAAGGTACGACAGCTGCAAGGGATTAACGCGTCTGAGGGAAACAAAGCGAGCAAGCGTTAGGGTCAAGCGATTATTAGGGGCAATAATCATGAAAAGGACAATAAAGCTATAAACGTTTCGAGACAAAGACCCAAAATATTGAGAGTGAAGTAGTAATGATAAAAATCTTCCATTGTGACAAAAACGACAGTTGAAATAACAAAAGAAAGGTACGAACAATTCAGTCGGTGGAGAATTTTAGATTAAATTTCATGCAATCTCGGGAAATATATTTTAGATTAAATTCCAAGGAATTACAGAAATGTGGGGGCCCAAGATTTATTGCGAATTTCAATAAATTGGGAACCAAGGAAAAAGAACAATAATGGGGGAAAGCAAGGAATAACGAGATGGGAATGGAAATTTTCCTCGCTTAACAACAAAGATTTATTTAGCAATTAAATATTAATAAGTGCGTGTTTCGGCACGCAACAATCCTCTTTACTCCGAATATTGCACTCTGATTAGTCGGAATTACAATTGGATAATAGACGAAATAATTTCACCCCTGTGCCATCGCAGAAGCCAAATATTGCATGTAATGGATCTCATGGTTGATATTGCGATGGAGAGAATAATCCCATCAGTTATTAAACTCATTGTTCCATAGAATTTACTCCGAATAATTAAATTCGGCAGTTCTATTTCTTAGGATTCTTCTGTTCAGTCCATTTATTTTCATCAAGTTTCTGACTCGTTACCGTCGTTACTCTCAATAAAATTTGCCCAGAAAATATGTATATCAAATGGGTACACGCACAAAAAAAAAATTGAAAAACGTAGGGAATTCGCTAGACAATTCATAGACAAATTATTTCTTATCCCACCGCTTCGATTCGCATATTGAATTCTCCTCCTCTCCAGGCCATAATGCGATCATCATTACGCAAACTCTACTGGATTGCGAAGGTGAATGAAAAACCACCTACATATAGAACTTTTCGCTAACGCTTCGCGTAAATTCATTCGCATCTATGAAAACTTATTTGCATTGATATATATTGCATTTATATCAATAACTTCATCTGATTGACATATGTCTCTTAGGTAGAATATAATTCAGGACTTGCATTTATTCCATAGTATTCATCAACAATAGGAGAAAACGTTTTTGGGCTGCAGGTAGAAAATGAAAATTTTTTTAGAGGTGGTTTTTCATGTATCTTCACAATCCAGTAGAGTTTGCGTAATTATTAGCGGACCATGGCTTTTCTTAGTTTTTGGGCGATTCTATTGAAATGTTCAATAGAAAATAATCTATGGAAAAAGCAGAATTTGGTAATTCTATATAACGTATTCTATTGAGATATTCTCTATTGAATTCCTCGGATCAAATTTTCTACGTTTTTTTGTTTCATTCTCTTGATGAAATGAAAAAAACGATAAGACTGAAAATTTCAGCCGGGAAATTCTATAGTACAGGGGAAATGGGAAGAGGTGAAAATTAAACTATCATAGTTTTGTTGATTGATGTAGGACAGGAAGGACCATCATGTTTGTGGACACAATAGGCTTTGCAAATTTATTTACAATTAGTTGGAGTTGCATTTCATTTTTTTTTTAAATAACAATTCACACGGTGAAAGAATTGATCAAACACATTCGAGGACATATGACTAATGGTAAATACTCTCGAAGTGTCCTCCATCAGAATTCGCGCACTAGTCAAGGCGTTTCTGAAAACTATGGACAACTTCTTCAATTTTAACTTGAGAAATATTAGAAACACCCTTCTGGATAGCGCTTCTCAGAGCCTCTTTTATCTGAGGATTGTCCGCGTAACAGAAGTCTTTGAGATAACCCCACAAGAAGAAGTCATACAGGTTCAAATCCGGTGAGTATGGTGGCTATTCCATCCCTGCTCAGGCGAAGCGAGGATACCCTAAGCCGATGACGCGATCACCGTATACTTTGTGCAATGCAGCAAACACATCATTAGTTAGATGAGGTGTTGCACCGTCTTCAATGAAATAGAAATCTTTCACAAATTCTTTTTTCTTAGCGAATGGGAAAAATTTAGTTTCCAACATCTCTCGGTAACTCTCCCTTGTAATGGTCCCTTCCAAGATTTCTTCGGGTATTTGTTTGATCAACAGAGCTACCCACACTGTAACTTTAGTAGGGTAGAGCGGTTTTGCTACGGATGAATGTCGATTTTCACTTCCCCAAAATCGATAATTTTGTTTATTCAAGTAGCCATTAAGGTAGAAATGAGCTTCATGCGTGAAAATAATTCGTATGGCTTCGACTTCAGAATTTTCAAACATTTGCGTCAAAACTTCGCTGAATTCAAGCTGTTTCCCTATAGCAGCTTGCGTAAGCAATTGGTGGGAAGTGATTTTATAAGGGTGAAGTTTGAGGAAATATTTAATTATCATACGTAGGGTCTCTCGGGTCAATTCTAACTTCGCAGCTGCTTTGCATATTGAATCAGTTGGATGATTTTGAAAATGTTTTTCCGCCTTGCCCACTACTTCTTCTGTCGTTACTGTATAAGATGGACCCGCAAGATCATGGCCACAATTCTGTAGGGTATCATAGTTGACAAAATTATCAATTACACTACAAAAAAGAATACATTGACTCAAAAAATTTATTGGGGACTTACCTAAAAAAAAATCGTACAGGAGAACTAAAAAATTCCTACCGTTTGAGAGTGGTGTCACTCCCAATTCTGTGACTACTAAACATACTACGAAAACCTCTATACGCATTGGTGTAATTTTTTCCTCGGGAATAATAGCACTCAATGAGATACACTGTTTCTTTAACAGTAAGCTCACTCATTTTGGAGAATATGAACTAGACCTCGGAGTGTCCCAATAGAATTTGCCAGGCTCCAAATTTTAACCTACAATAGCCCGATCTCTGGTGACAAAGTGGAGAAAGAAATATAGAGGAAAAGTTTTCACCTATTCCCATTTGTCACCCCGTGAATAACTCAATAGAATAAGTTTAATAGAAATTAAATAGAATTGTGTAGCGAATTCGCTAAATTTTTCCATTAAAATTTATCGTGCATATAGGCTGCCAAATTCGGAACTCTTATAAAACGAAAATTGGAAAAAGCCATGGGATGAAAAAAAATCGAGCGACTACACTGTTGATATATCACTCAGACTATAGTCATGTCTTGTACGCCAGAGTGATCGAGATTGACCGGAATAATATGCATCGACATGGAATCGATTCGGACAAAAAGTCCACCAGATGTTTCCACTTTTCTGGAACGTTTCGTTCATGCGTAGTTGTAAATCCTGGACTTGACTGATCTGATGTAGCATGCATTACCTTAATGGATTGGAATGATTAACGGTATTAACTGATTTGTATCATCCATCCGCAGACTAACAATTTATCTAACTTCTTTGCTCATAAATTACTATTTCCTTGCTTTGATGCAGTACAGTGAAGAATGATCTATGAAATTTTTTATTTTTTTCTTCAGATATGAATTATAACGATCCCATTGGCCCATTGCCAGCAAGGCCTATGACGGCAGCGGGGAAGAGAGACGATGATTTCGGTGACGAGGAACTTGGTGATGACCTTTTGCCCGTGTGAACCCACCTTCATATCAGCTCAACCAGCGATACTGGATCAACACTGTTGTATAATTCATTTCGTATCTTCTGCTTGGACTTTCCAACATAATTTTCTAATGTCACTGGATTATTAAGTATGCAGTTAATGGAGGAACAATTGTTTCAAAATATGTTGTAACGTTGAACTGATCGTCGATTTAATTTCGGTATTTTTCTGTCAATGTTTGGGCCCATTGTTAGTAAATTAATTTAATGGAAATTTTTAAACTGACTCTGCGTTATGGTTTTCATTTTATATTCTGGATGAGTACCCTGTGGTTTTCTTTAAATCTTTAAATCAATACGAGAATAATACTAATAATTACATTGGCTGCTTCCGTAGTACACAATTTTAACATTATTTAGTCATGTTTTGTACGGGCCATCTTGTAATTTCAATATTCAGATATAATACCCCGAGACATGCAAAATTATCGGAATAGTTCCCGATAACTTCGTTGCAAACAAATGAAAGTGTCACGTTTTGCAGGCTAAAATCCCAAGTGCGCAGAACGAGGATTTTTCTGTAAAACTTGACACTTTCGTTTGTTTGCAGGGAAGCTGGAGGGAAATATTGCGATTAATTTCGAAGGTCGAGGAGTATTCCGCGGAGAATTTTCCGTGACTGGATTTTGGCCAAGCGGAGTGCAATATTCGAGGGCTTCTTCCAGCAAAACATTCAATTGGTTAGTAATAAATGAAGAGCTACTATGCAATTATCAGATGCAATTTTCAGAAGTTAGTGTGGAATTGCCGAAAATATTTGATGACAAAAGAGTATGGTGATCTCGAATACTGCGCTGTGATTGGCTAAAATACAGTCCCGGAAAATTCTGAAAATAATAATCCGGAATTTCAAATGGATTTGTTGTTCGGTTCGGCAATTAATAACAGAATTATTATCCTTCCAATTTGAATGTGAATATTATGGGAAATAATTATGATTTGAGAGAATAATAATTCTAATCATTGAATTTACTGTTCAAACACAGTATTAAATATTTAATGTTACATTATTCCTCAATAATCGTGTCAAAGAATTTGGAAATATGATTTGAGAGTTAATAATTGGATTGAATTGTATTTTAGACAAATTCAATCCAATGTGTGTGTTCAATGTGGTTTTTATTTACACTGTTCGAGTTTTGACTCTATTTTGGGAAATGCTTTCAAATTTTAATTATTCATGATTTATATCAATTTTGTATGATATTACCACGTCTAATAATATCACCATACATTGTTACTCTCATGCAAAGAATATGAATGTTACTCGCCAACAATTTTCCACTTATTTGAATTGTGTGTCCAAAAATATTGTTTTATAATGCGTCAATAATGATTTCATCAATCAGAAACGAAACCTGCCCGATTTTTCACGAAATTTGAATTATGAAAATCTGCAAAATAGCGCGATTGGAAAAGCCAATCGTGTCCCAATCCTCAGTCAAATAAATATCTAAATATTCATTTTACATCATGGATATTATCTCTTCGGAGATGATATTAATTCAACACCGAAATCCTGTGGCAAATAATCAAATAATAGCAGTGATAATAAAATAATTGAGAACACGCGGTGTCACTTTGACCGGGGGGACGCCCAATCCTGTCCTTATATAAAAGGGAATTCAACCATAACGGGCGTGGTTCTGCGCGTTCATGATCAAATCGCACTTTAGCGATGAAGGCCAGTTTTTGATTTAGCTAACCCCGGTTAGACCTCGGTTAAAATTAAGTTAATGGCAGCATTCTTGACGGAATCGTGCATTTTATGGAAAAAGCAAAAATCTTCGGGAGGAAAGGTCTGAAGAGCTCTCTTCGTATCAAGGCTCCATGAATGGAAAATTCCGTTAAATCATTGATTTTTTTTTCTATGAGTTCATGTTTTTGAATAATTAAACAATCATCCCTCACTCGAAGTGAAAATTCAAGTTAATGTTATCTGTCAATATCGATAGCTTAGTAACAGAGTCACGTAACTAAACAAAACGGTCATTTCCAAACGGAAAGTGATGTATTACCAAAAAATGCGCTATTTATGCTCGGTATTGGAAATATCAGCGAAATAATCATTGTCAATTTTTTTTTTGAATATAGCAACGTATCTCTAATGATTTTCGATCAGACAAGTGTGAATCCTGCCTCCGTTCTTTTGTTCCAAGCAAATGCTAAACATTCAAATCATCAAAAATATTGAGAATATACGGACTCGGGAGATACGTTGTTATGACTCGCGTGTATAAAAAACAACCGTATCTCAGAAATCGTTCCAAAATGACTTAATTATGAAATAGCATATTGCCAGCTCAGTGACAGAAGAATGTAACCATACAAAACGGTCGTTTGGGAAAATAAGTGAAACGATTATTTTCAATTTTGTTCGAATGGACCAACAGATTACCATCGAATGAATTTCACATTCATAGTTCATGGCAGGAGGGAATGGCAAATGTCCCTCTGTTGATAGTGTTGCGTGCTAGATTTTTCATGTTTTAAGAAGTTGATAATATGTTCGGAGTTCCCCACAGGGAATATTCCAGAAAATAATATGACTATTGTGGGAATATTATTTAAAAGATTTTCAATTAAATGAAGTTCTCTCCGACACATATATTCAGTGTATGTACAGGTATATATTTACAATTTTTAATACACTGTCAAAATAAAGTTGAAAATATACTAACACTACGCACGACTCTGAAGGTTACACTCACACTCGGTTCTCCACGACTCAACTGTAAAAACTTGACACTCTTCTGAAAGACGATTACTCTAAATCTAAGACGATTACTCTCATTCTGATTTTCCCGGTTCGCTCACCCGGGTTTTCATGATGCCCCAGGGCCCTTCCCACTCTTGAATTGACACTACCGACACCATGGAAACGGAACGCCTTTCTGCGCTCCCATTGACGGAGAAAGTAATCCCCTCTGACGTCAGGCCCACGTCTCTCCCCCCCCTTCTCTCTCTCGGTCTCTCTCTCTCTCTCTCTCTCTCTCTCTCTCTCTCTCTCGAAAAAAAAAAAAAAAAAAAAAAAATCAAATATATACTAAAAATGAATAGTTTAAAAAATCCATGCATAGTTATATATTTGGGTACATAAAAACTATGTGTATACCAAATTTAAGCTGGATTGAAAAATGAGGCACTTAAGCCGTTTTGAAGGTTCAAACCATTTTTCATCCGTTTCGACCTCTTCTACGTGGTGAAAATCTCCGGTGGCGGCTTTAATATTACTTTTTATCGACACCCGATAAGTACCAAAATCTTTAAGCTTGGTCCTACCAAAGTCCAGGAACTTTCCAATTTCACAGCAGTTTCCCCTGACAAAATCACCAGTGCGAAACACGAGTGATTTTTCCTGAAAAATTTCACGAGTTAGTATGTAGAGAACCTTGAGGAAAATACTTGATTAATTTTGAAGGTCGAGGGGTATTCGTAAGAAAATTTTTCCATTCAAATTTCGGCCAAGGGAATTGCACTATGAGAAAAAACCCATCTGTCTGTTCCAACGAGGGGTTCACTCGACCGGGAAATCTTCTATTTTTCATATACAGAATGTCCCATTTCAAACAGTATAATTCGATTTCATTTGTAAGAAGGATGGGAGAACAGAAGTGTTCGAATAACAGTTGCAGGGCTCGGAGGGGGAAAACTCACTGCTGATGGAATCTAGGGCACCCTTGCTCATGTTTCTATGCTACGAGCATGAAGTTCTTAGTTTTCTTTAATGGCAACAACATTTTTCACCCCTACAAAAGTTGTTCGTCTAGCCCAGAGAAGTTTGTGTCCGTACCATATTTTCCGATGACGTCGTCGTTTTTACATGAATAATCTTACACATATCGAATGGAAGGGAAACATCTTTCATTATCATGTTATGTTAGCAACGATACAGCGGGCATAGAGGGGTTCACTCGACCGAGAAATCTTCTATTTTTCATATACAGAATGTCCCATTTCAAACAGTACAATTTGATATCATTTGTAAGAAGGATGGGAGAACAGAAGTGTTCGAATAACAGTTGTAGGGCTCGGAGGGGGAAAACTCACTGCTGATGGAATCTAGGCCACCGTTGCTCATGTTTCTATGCTACGAGCATGAAGTTCTTAGTTTTCTTTAATGGCAACAACATTTTTCACCCCTACAAAAGTTGTTCGTCTTACCCAGAGAAGTTTGTATCCGTACCATATTTTCCGATGACGTCATCGTTTTTACATGAATAATCTTACACATATCGAATGAAAGCGAAACATCTTTCATTATCACGTTATGTTAGTGTGACATCTGTCGAAAAATCGTTTTATTGATTATTTCTGGAAAACTTAGATAAATAATATTTTGGGGAAACAAAAATCATTTAAAGATAAAATTCTTTCTCACGCGTAAATTCATTTATTTTTGAAAGCCAAGGGCCAGCTGCAGATAAAAAATTATCAAGAAAGCAAATTTTCAAGGAAATTTTCGTCGAAAATACGGTCGTAAAATTCAAGACATGGGCCAGGCTCTTGTCGCACCGTAGTGCTTCAAGTGCACGCCCCAGTCTTTCTCTCTCTTTGTCCATTGTTCACTGACGGTTCAGTGACGTGTCCGGGGGGTAATACATTTTCAAAATGTGGAATTTTCCCATCTTATCGGGAAGTGGGGTCTGTTGAGTTTCTCTTCTCGGACCCCAATAAACCGAAATTTGAGTTTCTCCTCTTGGACCCCCATAAAATTTGAACAAGCGTTTCCTTCTTGAAACATTTGGCGAGGGGATATTTGAGTTCTCCTTTTAAGCCGGAAATAATAAATCATTCTGACAATTTTCGAAGTTGTTAGAAAAATATTATTTTTCATTTGTAAAAGGTAGCTCTAATTGTTGGAAATTTTCTGACGATTATTTTGATGTAAAAATTTCACCGCTGCGACAGTTTCAACCGATGGTTTTATATTATCGCAGCTTGATAGAATTACATTTCAAAGTAATTTCTTTTCAATTCAATTGATTTTCTTTAAAATGAAATTTCTGATCTTTCATCATAATTATTCATACAACTTCTGAAATCTCAAATTGATTTCATTCTTTTTGAACTAAAATTATTTCTTTCATGATGAAATAGTAACTGATAAAATGATTACATGAATAATTTTCTTTTTCATCATTGAGTTCGAATTCAGAATATTTCAAACTCAAAT